GGACAAAACTAAGAGAACACCCTTTGAACTGAAAGAAAACATAAGTTATGGCAAGCATAAAGATAAAGCAAAATGACGTCAAAATCGTCATCAGGAAAAGTTAACTCTTTCCTGGATAGGAAGGTTTCGTTAGACGAGACTGCCATCTATGGATCAAATACCTAAATCGCGATCCCTAGATTGGACACACCTATGGCTTCCTATTGGGTTATCAACTAATGACGTATAGAGAGTCTGGCCCTTTAAATGTTAAGACAAAGAAAGGAGAGGGAAGAGGAATTGGAAGTTTGGGGACTCCAACTCAGACATGCAGAGAAACCCAGGACAACATCTGAGACTAACACTCAACTCACAAACTCTTTGACACTTTCTAACCAACACTACTTTTCACTATTACCCACGCACCTCCATGCAGAGAGACATCCAAACAAATTCCTGAGACTACCAATTTGATGAAAATATCTACTCAACTGGTAATTATACTGGTTTCATTTAATTAATTAATTAAATTAATTAAAATTTACTAATAGCATGATATATGACTGGATAAATCACGGTCAGATTTCCATATTAAGAAATCTTAGTTAACTAAAGAATATATAGTTATAAACATTCCATTCTGCAGGTGGAATTAAGAATAATTATATATTAATGTGATATTATCACGTGTTAGCATACCGCTGTTTTTATCCAGGTGTATTGATTTGCTCTAATATAAGATAAGATATCTTTTTAGGCGAATTAAAAATCTGCTTATGAAATCTGGTAGAATCTCTTATTGGATGGTTCCAGGAAATGACTAATGAACTGGTTTAAATGTTATTTTATTTAAAATTACATAAGAATAGATCTTAATTACCTAGGTGGTCTAGCCAGCATTGAAAGGGTTATTCTAACTGGCAGCTAAACTTTACAACCTTACGCTGCACTCTGAGGAATTCTGTTCTCTGCGTGAAACTTTTTCTTTCTCTCTGTGAAAGATAGTCATAAATCTAGTCTTGACAGAAAATGCTGTTTAGCCATTGAAATGTGTATAGCCATTCCTTTGTATTGCATACCATTTTATACTGGATATTCATTGATTATTGTCACGCATGTTACATATTATTATTATTATTATTAATTATTGGTTATAATAAATAAATCTATTTTTATAACATTGTGATTTTATCTATATGAAATACATTTCACTTAACACGATAACGATCTTTGGGATCTGAGAATTGAATTAGTGGGCAATTCTCACTGTTTACTATTATTATCCCATAAATATCCCCACAACAGACACACACTCTTTGACAGACACACACACTCTTTTACAGACACATACACTCTCACTGACAAACACACTCTTTTACAAACACACAAACACATATACACTCTCATTGACAAGAACAGATACATTCTCCCTGCCAAACACATACACTCACTGACAAGCACACATTCACTCTCACTGACAATCATACAAACTCCCTAACAGACACACATACAATTTTTAAAATTTTACTCCACCCAGCCCCCTTACCTTTTGGGAGTGCTGGAATGGAGTCCCTGGGGTCCAGTGGGGCTGCCTGCATGAAATCCCTGTGTTCCAGTGGGGCCAGCTGCAGCGTGGCAGTCGGGAGGTCTGGCAGACAGGTGAGTGGTGGAGGTGGATGACGAGGGAGCAGTGAGCTCTGATCTCCCCGCTCTGCTCCCTCGTGTGCCTCCTAGTGATGCCGGAGCCGGAGTGACGTCATATTCTGGCTCCGGCATCACTGCTGTGCACGAGAGGGAGCTGAGCAGGGAGATCACTGCTCCCTCGCCGTACGTGGACATTTTTTTTCCAAATTTTTGGGCAGAGCCCCAATTAGGGTGACGCGGAACACCAATTGGGAAACGCTGCCCTAAATAATCTACAAGTGCTAAACACCAGAGCCAAGTGCATCCTTTTGGCTCCACATTTGTGAGTGCTTCATATTATTACCTTATAATCTACAGTGGCACAATTTATCTGCACTATTGGCTTTCCCTTTGTTTCTTTCTAATCTAAATACACACAGAGCATTCACTACACAAACTGTATACAATACACAAACTACATGCACTGCACAAAGACACTGCATTCACTACACAGACACTGCATCGATTATATATATGTATACACACACACTGCGTACAATACACACTCTGCATCCACTGTACGAACACACAATGCATTCACTACACACTGCATACAATACACACACTGCCTCCACTATGCACACACTCAATGCATTCACTACACACTGCATGCAATACACACATTACATGCACCACACACACGTTGCATGCACTATATGCACACAGCACACTATATGCATTACTGTTATACCTGGAATGTTAGACACTGCCCTCTCACTTTAACTAGTGGCTCCACCCCTGTGATGACTCATAGGTCAGAGAGCATGGCAGCCATCTTGAGTCAGTGAGTGTGATACAGTGCTGCACAGAGGATGTTTTACTCCTATGTTCCTGTCAGTTATAATGAGACTGATTATACAGTAAATTTTCAGCAGTAAAGCAAGGTTGTATGAAACTACTGGTCTCTTATATGAAGCAGTCAGGACCATAACAATGACCAAGCCTGCACTAGAAAAGAAGAGGTAATCTCACTACACACATCTTGAGTCAGTGAGTGTGATACAGTGCTGCACAGAGGATGTTTTACTCCTATGTTCCTGTCAGTTATAATGAGACTGATTATACAGTAAATTTTCAGCAGTAAAGCAAGGTTGTATGAAACTACTGGTCTCTTATATGAAGCAGTCAGGACCATAACAATGACCAAGCCTGCACTAGAAAAGAAGAGGTAATCTCACTACACACAGAGCATCCAGCCAGGACATGGCACTGATAGGCACATTGTGTGAGTTTGATGGGGAGCAGAGCTCCTGGACTGAAGGATTAGAGCATTACTTCAATGCAAACACTATACCCACTGAATGGCAGGTAGCTGTATTCCTAACACTGGTGGCAGCTAAAACTGGAAGACACCTTCTGTTCCCTGATAAACCAGCAAGCAAAACGCTGGTGGAACTGCTAAAACTACTAGAGCAGGCATCCCCAAATGCCGGCCCCCCAGATGTTTTT